TTTACTAATTAAGCTAAGCTATTGTTTGATTTTAAGAAGATTTTAGGAGGTATTTTCGGTTTAAAGATTGTCTTTAAAAAAAGATTTAAAAAAAAAAGGATTGTCTTAGGACAATAGTTTCAGGGGTTCCTCCAACCTTCATGGTTCGAGGAAGTCAGGAGAGCCTGAGAATGTGAAGTTCTGTTCTGTATGTTCCTCCTTTGGACCAGGATTCTTCTATGGAATCTTCTATCAAACTATTGGGTCATACTCACCAGACACCATCCCGTCTTCTGGTGTCTTGGCAAAGGAGACGGTTGTTCATGGAGGAAATTAGCCACCCATGACAGCTTCTTCTTTCTCTGTGGCTCCAGGCGAATAGGCCAATTGCTGTGCCTTGGCTGGTGGCCTGGACAAGTTCCACTCCCCACCCCACCCCCTTTCCTAGTGGTCCCTGAAGGGACCTCAAGAAATATGTGATTCCCAGCCTTTGCCGTCCTTAGCAATCATCTGGGAATCCTTAAAAAATACGGATACTAGTGAGCTCCACCCCAGAGAGTCTGATTTAATTGGTCTCGGATATTACCTGGGCTTTGGGGCTTTAAAAAGCTCCCCGGATGGTTCTAATATGTAGTCAGGGTTGAGCACCATGGCTCCAGGGAGTACTTGGTGTTCTGTTTAGAAACCCACTCCTTGGCTGAACTCTGACATTTCTTCCTGCTAGGGTGGGAGACCTTAAAGGAGAGGTACAATTTAGCCCAGATGAGGACAATATGCTGAGCAAAAACTTGGGGGTGGGGGGCCTGGGAATCAGCAAACAATGTAGTTTACTACAGTAGAGGGGAGATGCCATCGAGTCCATACTGACGCATAGTGGCTTTCTGAGACTTTGACTGTGACTTCTGGGACCAACAGCCCAGTCTTTCTCCTGGTGGTTTCGAACCGCCCATCATTTGAATCGCAGCCCTTGTGTAACCACTACACCACCAGGTCTCCTGGAGGAGAGGGAGGAGATAACTCAGTCTGATAACAAGGTTGAAGAAAGACACCTGGGGGACTTCACATTATAGGAAGGGTTAAAGGTCAGATTGGATTGCACCTACTCTCACCAGTATTGGGTCTTTAAGGGCTTTTGGCAGTGGAGTGTGTCGAGGTGACTTGGAGTGAGGAGAGGTTAGAAGCGAGACCTGCTAGCAAGCTGTTGTAATAATCCCAGATGAGGTCATTTTTCTGGCAAGGACTGCAGAGGGAATAGAGAGTTGAGATTGCGGATTCAAAAAGATATTTTGGCAGTAGAGTGGATTGTGTTTTAACAATACTGTTCATTAGAAAGTAGGGCAGGAAGGCGAGATAGTGGCATTGAGTTTTCAGATAAGAGGGACTAGGGAAATGAGGCCACTCGCGGAGCCCGGGAAGGGGGCTTTCGGTAGCATCTCACCAGTTTGGTGTGCAGTATGTGGAGTGTGGAGGAAGGATGCAGGCTGGTCCATGTGGCGGTGTGTTCCCCAGACACTGCCAGAATGTCTGCGTGGAAATGTATAAGCTGGCGAAGCATCTGGTTAGACGTGAGGGGTGGGTTAAAACGATAGCTGAGTTCAGAGTTTTTCAAAGCTAAGAAGAAACTAAGTCCAGAGGTACACATAGGAAAGGAAGGGGGAACCAAACAAAAGTTAAGGGGAAGGAGGGAAGATGGGAAATGTGTGTGGAGGCGAGTTTATATGGAGAGGGGTGGGATTGCCACTGGTTAGCATGTGTGGTAGTTATATAACTGCCCGTCAATTTGAGAGGATTCAGAGTGAAGGGGTGGAGTCTAGCCTGTCAATCAGTTGATAGCCAATGAGGCCTCGGTGTGGGCATGGCCTTCTCCTGAGGATTCTGGGAACTCCGGTTTTCCTTCTTGGAGGTGAGAGACACTCTCTCTCGGCTCACTCCCTGCAAGACATTCCTGTGGAGAAGACACATGGAGAGAGGCTGATGGAGCCGGATCTCTGGACCCAGAGAAGCCCCCTGGAGACTCCTGTCAGTGCTGAGATGCTTACAACGCCACTGGATCCACAAGACCTCCCACCCACTGGCCTGTGATCTGCCTGCATCATTGCATGTGTGCCTGAGACTGAAGAGGACTTTATAGATTGGTATCAGACATATGGGCTAATGTCAGACTTACGGACTTGATCCGGGCTGGGATGTTTTCTCAATATTCCATTGCTCTTGTAGATAAAGCTCTTTCTTATACTCATATGAATGTCTATGAATTTGTTTCTCTAGTCCACCCGGACTGAGACAGCATGCTAGGCTGATAGCCATCAGAGTGGAGGCCTGATTCTACCCAGAGACGCCTTGGATGAAAGGCCTGCCGAGCTACAAAAATAAACCCTCCAAACTCACAGTCCTTAAGTCCATTTTGAGTCATAGCGACCCGATGGGACACAGTAGGCTGCCCCTGTGGGCTTCTGAGATTGTGACTCTTTACAGGAGTAGAAAGCCAAGTCTTTCTCCTGCAGAGCAGCTAGGGGTTTTGAACTGTTACCATTGTGGTGAGAAGCCCAAAGCCTAACTCACTCTGTCACCAGGGCTGCTTTGACAATCAAAGGGGTCGCGGTGATTTGGAATGGACTTGATTCGATGTTCGTTTGGTGGAGATGACCTGTTCCTGATCCCCAGGGAGTGAGGGATCAGGGTCAAAGGACCAGCAGGGAGGCAGAGTACTGTGAAAAAGTACTTCCTGCAAGAACAGCTTCGGTCAAGTAGGGAGTGGGAACAGATTTCGAGGGGTTAAGAAATAGGGGGTATGAAAGAAAAGACTGAACAGGCACATCTCTGATCACAATACTCCCTTAAGTGGGAAGTGGGGGGGCGGGGTGGGGGGACCGGGGAGGAAAAGAGTAGGTGTTAAGGAAGCAAAAGTAGCGAATGTGTGAATTCCATTTGTCCCAAGATGAACTTGTGACTTCCACACCCCACCCCAGCCCCGTCTCCTCCCCGTGTTCCCCAACTAAGCGCATGACTTCTCTTAGAGACGGGAAGCTCCCTGAGGGCCGGGGTCACATCTGCTGTCTGAGCGGTTGCCTCAGCAGCACCTTCCCCATTGGGGTGAGCATGTTCTCCACACATTCAGTGCCAGCTGTTTCGGGCAGTCCTCTACAGGTGCACAACCTCAGCCCACAGCTTTTGTCCAGCCTCACTTGCCTCCAGGTCTAGTGGTCACTCAATGTACCCCCTTCCCCCCAAGTCCGACTTGTACTCCAGGCTCAGTTACCTCCTCTAACCCCACCCACTTTGCCTTCCCTATATTGCCTCCACCCCACATGAGTCTCTAACAAGACAACAGCTGTTGGGAGCTGGAATTCTCCCAGCCACCTCCTCACCCCCAACTCCTAACCAACTCCCTGACTGGTCTGGCCTTTTCTCCTCCTGTCTGGGCACAGGTCTTCTTGCAAACCCCCCCTTCTCCAAAGGCCTACACCCAATCTGGCAGGATGTGGGAAGAGGGTCTCCCCAGGTGCGTGCCTACTGCCCCCCCTTTTCCTTCTGTCTCTGTGGAAGCCTATGGACGGGGTTTCCGCGAGCTAGTCTTTGGAGCATGGAAGGAAGAGCCAAGGCAAGGGCCAGGCCTTTGCAGGCTGCAATCAATCTATGGGATTGCAGGAGGTAAACCCACGCGGTCTCTTTAATAGTATCTTTCAGAAGTTGACACACAGGCACACGCAGACCAGAACAAGGCGGGGGGTGGGGGGGGTGGGGGTGGGGGCACCGGGGAGCTCAGGGAGTAGGGGAATAGGCCGGTTTGCAGCCGGGGTTGGGAGGTCCATAGCCCGGGATCCCTTCTGCCCCGGGGCGTAGGTGGGGCGGCGGCTGGGGGTTGGGATGGGTAAAAGAGAGTATTTACAGAGAACCGGAAAGTCCTTCTGATTTTAGGAGGAAGGGTCCTAAATTGGAAACTCCCTAAAAGTCATTCCTGAAACAACAAAAATTTGAGACTCAGGGATTCGCAAGAAAACAGGTGGGCACAGGGAGTGGAGCGATTGTATCAGCAAAAGAGGGTGCGCGGGGGGGGG